TATAATTTTTTTTGTTTTAGTATTTTGAAGTTGACCAATTGTTACTATAAGCAATTAATGATTATAGATGATCTGCATCGTATAAAAAATGATCGCTGTAATTATTATTTTTTTCCAAAAAACAAATTTGGCAAACAATCATAGGTGTATTAATTTCCTTCTAACTATTATACCTTTATTGTTTTTTTTTCACTTCTAACAAAGTCTTGCTGTTTCTGATACTTTTCAATGCTATTTCAAATAGTTCTCAACTCCCAAATCTTTGATCAGCAACTAATTATGTTTCTTCTTCACCACTAGATTCAAGACTCTGAGTTTCATAAACCTCATTACAATCTAAAAGTTCAATATTTTTTGGAAAAAAGCGAGCTAGAATATTCCACATGTTTTAACAATTCATTATAAAGAGTTTTACATGTTTTATTTATTGTAAAGAACGAAGAAACGAAATTTTAATTTTGAAATAAATGTTTATGTTTTAAAAAAGAATTAATAACGATTTTCTGACTTGCAAGCATGTTTGGAGAATCCGAATAATAAATCAGGTTAATTCTTGTAAAGATTATAACATAAACAGCTTTTAAGTTTAGGTCTGTATTATCAATTGCGTTGAATGGAATGGAGAAAATGGATACAAGCCAAATAATCATTGGAAAAAAGGAGACTACATATCATCTCACATCACCAAGGAAATTGAATGTCTGGTTGGTTTGTGAGTATATGTCAAAAGTGGTTATGGCAGCAAAAATCAGAAAGTTGACTTCCCAAAGGATTGAAAAATTACAATCTTTCCAAAATAACTGGAAGCATAAAAAAGCAAACAATTTCAGAAGAAAGTAAATGTAAATATGGTGTACAAGTATGATGAAAAACTCGGGCATTATTAGAACGTTACATTATACTTCGATTGGGTGACCAAAATGAGTAAATCATTTTTTTCCAAGTATGGTGATTTACATGCTCTAATCATCTTATTTAGTACAGGAAGGAATGGTTAGAGACCAATGAAGGACAAAGGATGGAGTGATAAAGGAAGAAGAGTATATCTTGAAACCAAAGTATCAAGATGGTGCCAGACTTTCTTTGGGCTGATGAAGAATGGAAGGCTAACCCAAACATTAAGTTCAGAGATTACAATCAATTCAAGCAGATTGTTATTGGAAATCAGAACATATGGTGAACAGGCTGGTAATATTGAATCAGTTTATAAAAGAGTGTGATAACCATTCTTGCAAATTATAAAAAGTTGGTAAATATCATCTTTGAAGTACTTCACCTTGGACGTATTGACGTTTTTTGTTTTGATCAGTCAACTATCACAATGCAATGACAGAATGTGTACTTATAGTCAGTCACAAGTATGAATTAATATACAGAAAAAAAGCAAGCAAAGTTGCATAATGGTTGGTATATTAACAAGTAAGGAGAAAAATGTATTCGAAAAATGGTTGAAGTTGACATTAAGTTAAGGGCTAAAAGGAGTTCGGGTGGTGTTGGCCAAATGTGGATTACAAAATTAGACATGCTGTGCTCGACGCTCTGGTAAGACTGAAGAAGATCCAAATAGAAAAAATTGATGTGCGTGACAAATTTTGTCATGTCAACCTGATTTCTGGAGGAGTCAGTTATCGCAGCTAATCACATGGGAAATACCCAAATTTTCATTGCGAGTGCAACTTTATTGGAAGATACTGGGGATATGCAAAGTAAGAGACAAGAAGGGAAATACACTTATAAATATGATGATTTGTTGAGATGTATTTGATAGTGTCCTGTTACAACAATTTAAAAGTTTGCAAGGGAGTCATGGAGATACATGAATGCATATGAGAGCTTGGAAGGTAAAATTAAGAAGTCAAAATAAATTTTCGTTTTTTTAAAATGTAATAGATGATTGGTTTCCTAAACTGTTTTTAGGAAAAAAAAGTGATTTCGGCAATAGTTTCGGCTTTATATGAAACTAGTTTATAAAATTTTGGAAATTCTAGTTTCATTTATTAATATTAAGAGAGCCAGTGAGAGAGTGTATTGGTGAAAGTTATTGACGAGTAATTTTTTATACTGCCCCTAAATTTTAAAATAGATTTAAATGGTAGATTCTCAATATTCTGACAAACTGTGTTGACAGCAAAAAATGCAAAACATGTAAAGGAACTGATCATACCTGCTCCTCAGGCAAAAAATGTTCTTTAAATAAATCATGTCAAGCAGGACCTTCAAAAACCATCACACGAGAAAAATTAGTCCTATGCATCAAAAGATATTTTTGAACATATGAAGGAGCAAAATTCTTCCAATTATATATGATCCATTTTCTTGAAAGCTCTCTCAATTATGATAAACAGTTATTTGATGTTTGGCTAGTTCTCCAAACTTTCTCCAAATTCATCATTGATCGATCTCCAAAAATACTAAAGATGGTCCTATAAATCTTGTTCATAACCTCAACCATAATCATAGAATTTGTCATGGAAATCTAGTGGGTAAAACCTAATGAATACTGTATTCTTTCAAAAATTAAAGGTTCTGCTTAAATCAATTTGTGATATTTAGATATTTATCATCTATATATCATCATTACAAAAAGTTGGTACTTAATTTCTACTTATTTATATAAACGTGCTATTCATTTGTAAATAATCATTTTTGTTTAAGGGTATAAATATGGGCACCGCCATCTACAACTTAATTGATACTGGTTTTTTTAATTATAAATTAAAATGTTTTGGAATCAATATTCGAAAATCACATGTTTTTGTTTTATCTTATTATTATTATTGTTATGTTTTTACATAAACAGCAATTCAATTTTAACCTTTGCCGGGTCTTTTATTAGTTTCATGATCCATTAATCATACAATATTGTCGTCAGTGCTGACATTGTCATCTTCGTCAAACAAAACAGAACCGGTGTTTACACAACTACAAATTAAAAAATGATTGAATTTTACATAGAATAAATGAATGAATAACTTGCCATCATCAATAAATTACGAATACAATTAATAGCTTCAAGGTAACGACCTAAAAACCCAAAATTGAATAATAATAAAGAATTTTTCAGAAAATTTCCTATAAAAATTTCTTAAGAGTGTTGGGATATGGCAGATTTTGTAGAAATGAAACGTTGGGTAAAAAAGTCAGTAGAATATTGAATTTTAAAACTTTCCTTAAACCTTGATATATGTTAATTTGAGATACAAATTCAAAAAATCTAATAATAATGTTCCTTTTTTTTATTCTTTTTATATCATTCCAATCAACTCACAACATGCTCGTCATTAAATATATTGTTAGTGATTACAATGAAAACATGCAAACTCAACTGTGCTAATACCAAGTTCTGTACTACATTGTGCTTTTTCTAGTACAATATAACAATGTACTCATAGTCTTGATATTATATATTTTGTTCTTAAGGTCATTTTGGCCTTAAATAAACTTTTACTCGAAAAATTGTATTTGAAATCACATGGTTTCTATTTTGCTGCGTGACACAGCGATATATTTTCAATCACGTGTATTATAAACTATCATTCCGCAACTTTTTGCGATATGTGACGCCCGGCGGCTCATCTAATAAAAGCGTGGGTGCCCTGTTTGATTGTTTTTTTCCTAAAATAAGAAAAATAAATACAATTTTGGTCTCGCAACTTTTTATTGGTCTTGTAGATCCTCCAAAATGTAGTACAGTGCATAAGTGCATGTCACAGTAATACATCCAAAATAACTGGTCTTCTTAAAATTGACATGAGTTAAAAATTCTCATGTAACTTTTTGAAAAAAAAACAACGTAAATCAATTATTCTAGCTAAAAGCTATCGAACTACGTTGGAATTTTTTAAATAAGTTCAATGCAACAGGAGTCATGTCAAGTTAGTCAAGTTAAAAGTTTGTATTATAAAAATTTTGAAATTGACCCCCTATAATTCTGGCAAACAGCCCAAATTATGAAGTAAAATGTATCAATTTTAAATCTTTTTTCTAAAGAATAAATTCTAATTAAAACCTTAAATACTTAAATGGTCAGAATTAAAAAAAAGGATTCAGTACTTTCTAAAACCAGAAGATAATGAAATTAAGTGAGAAAAAAGAAAATCAAACTCTTGGTTTTTTTTGTCACGTGTGATCTGTGGATCTATATAAAAAGTGGATGGTATTACTGTGACACTCACTGTATTATTAAATTGTTGGCATATTTAAAAAGCACATGAAATTATTTTGTTCAAAAAGGAAAAATAAGAAATAAATACCAGTTTTTTTTTCTAATGAGTACATACGTCATCTTGTCTCCTTTTTGACAACACCTCCACACGCAAATATTATTTATTTACGCATACTAATATTATCTACCTAAAACATGAAAAAGAATGAATAAGTGAGTGTACGAGTATGAATGTTTACTACCGTGCGTGATAAACACATACACTCATTGCTTAAATGCTAATAATAACCGAAACATTAATTACTATAAAAATCATTATAATATAAATTTAGTTTATAAAAAAGTAAAGTAAAATAAGGCTCGGCAAGTTCCGAAATTATCTATTATAATTATAAATTATTAAAATTAATATCATTTCATCTTCATCGTCATTAAAAAAAAAGTGGGGAAATTGTTGCACAAAACCACCTTACATTTAATTTTTTATTCTGTATGTCTAAAAATATAGTTAGTATTCCCAAGAACCTCATATTTACATAGTTGTTTGTTTATTTTATTATTTCAATAAATTTAATTTTAATTTGGTAAGTGTCATTAAATAATATTATTTATTATTTATTATTTATTATTTATTATTTATTATTTATTTATTATTTATTATCTATCGTTCATTTATTTATTCATTCATTCACCCACAATAATAATAATAGTCCATTCTCATTTGTTGATTGTTCTTTTCATTAATTAATTAATTCATTTATATATTTATATTATACATACATTATGAGTTTTTATTTTTCCATAAATTGATTAATTTTTAAGCTGTTGATGACGACGATTGATGTAATATAAATTCGATTTTTGTACATGTATCAGGTGTGTATGTGTACGCGTAAAAATATTTTTGCGTCATTGAAAAAATATATAACAGGAAAAAAGGTCTGTCTGTGTCTGTGTATTATAGTCTCATTTATTATTCTTATTATTGATATAGATGGTGGGTGGGTGGATACATTTAACTAATTAGGCAATCAATCAAATTAGTCAATAAAAAACAAACTCATTATTTTGATCCAAATTTGACAATAAAAATATAAATTATAACAAAGAAGGAAAACAAAAAAATTTCTGATTATTAATAAGAATCCATTAACGGGAAAGAATAAATAATGAAATGGAATTAGTAACATACAAATTTTGGAGATGGGAACACGCAAAAAAAATTTTCAATCAAATACGCGTCGCCAAAAATAATTTAATTGATCTACATAATGAGGGATTAGAAATAGCAAGAATTAAAAAACAAAGAATTTATTTCTTATATATATGTGTGTGTGAGTGTGAGTGTATGTATAAATGCGCGCGCGTGCGTGTGTGAATTTAAATATAAATGTTATTATTGATTAATTTATTTTGGTTAAAAATTATTATTATTATCGTAATAATGCTGAATTTTATTTATTTTCCATAAAAAGAATATAAAAAATAATTAAACAGTCATTTATTTATTTGTTGTGTTTGTTTTTTTGTATCTCTCGTAAATAATTGGAGGTGAGTTAAAAGAAGATTTTTTTTTGTGAAAGAATGTAGAGTTGAAAACGATAAACAAAAAATATATTATTATTAAAATATAATAGATAAATTCGGGATTCCGAATACAAGTATGTGAGAAGAATTGTTAGATGATAAAATGTATGAATTTAAAAAAAAAGAAAATAATTGTTTTCTTAAACAATATAAAAATTTTTTTATTGATAATGGCGTGTTGCAATAAAATTAATGAGATTGAGAATTTCATTGTGCAATAAGATTTATTTATAAATAAGCAAGTAACATGAGCATTGGCATTAACATTATTAACATTTAGCAACAATAATAATTAGATGACATCATTCTCTGAATCTTATTTATATATGATAATATGCAACAAACAAACAAATATTATTGATTAAATAAAAGTTTGGGTGAATAAATGCATTTATTATTAATTGATGGGTGGATAGGCGGGACAGGCCAGGATAAAGGAGTGTAGAGTTTTATGTATGGTATGTAATACACAGTTTTGCTATGATCCTATTTACTATTATTATCACAACCAAGAAAAATTTTTCTTAAATTTGTTAATGATCATTGATCAGTGATACAAACAATTTAAATAATTTGTTTCTAATTAGATACGATGAAGGAAATAATTTGTTGTTGTTGTTGTTGTTGTTGTTGTTGTTGTTGTTGTTGTTGTTGTTGTTGGATATTTATCTCAAATACTTTGCAAAATTCAAGTCACATGATTTTTGGTTACACATATTTATTATATGATACAAACTTTAAAGTTTAGAGAAATTTTCAATTTTGTTTTAAAAATTATTTTTTATTAATAATAAGGAAACTATTTTTTCGACCCTTCAAATATGGTTAGAGCGCAATATAATCAAGCACGGGTACATGGATGAAGATAATTTACTACATTAAGAATAAACAAATCTCAATGTATAAAATCCAGGAATTTTATAAAAATATCAATTTATTATTTTAATAAACAATCATTTTTTTGTTATCTTTAAAATTTTTGTTTGTTACATGAAAATGAATATATATTATATTTGAAAAAATGTTTGTGATGCAAAAATGTAATGTTGATTTTATTATTTTCAAAATTGATTTTTTGTACATGTAAGATGCAACGACATTCATATGATATGTGTGATATATACATATATACATGTATATATATATTGATTGATTTGAATGACGGGTGATAAATAATTTTGAAAAAGAATTCATCGTGTAACATTTTTGTTTGATGTTTGTTTTGATAATTAATTAAAAGACGTTAAAAATCAAAATAAAAAAGTTCTAAAAAAGAATTTAGAATAATAATTGTTATACTATTATTAATCATTATCATTATTACTATTTTTATTATTTTTCATGGGAATTCTTCCACGGAGAAAGTTTTTGTTTTAATATATAATAATCATTATAATCATTCTAATGTTGTTTATTAGTCGATCAACAACAGCTAATAATATTTAATAAAATAATTGATAATGCGTAGTAGATGATAGATACTGTGTGATAATGATAACTATGTTTGTATATATATATATATATATATAGTTAATAATTAGGAATGAATGATATTTGTTTTGATTATCGTATTCCCGATTGATTACTAATAACTATAATGACATAAGGATATTAATATAATAGTAATAGCAATAATGAACTTAATTAAATTTAGAAAAAGCTAGATAAAGAGAGGGGGAGGAGGAGAGAGAAAATCGTGTGTGCGTATGCACGTGTGCTTATTTATATATTAACATGTATAAAAAATTCGGAATTAATTCGACAGATTTCCGAATTTAAAAATAATATTTTTTTTTTTCAAAAATCACATCTATAATAATATACACGCACGCATGTAGAACACACATAATTTATTTTATTTCACAAAGATCGAAAATTAAAGATCGAAATATTGATTTTTATCATTAATAATATTCAATTGATATATTCTTTTTTAAATGGTATGTGTATATTACGTAAAAATAAGCAGCATATTACCTAAAAAAAAAAAATAAAACTGTATAATTATATATTTTTTTTTTATATATCCGAGTTTCGCAAGTTTAAATGAGTAAATTGATTCTCGAATACTGAATTTGATTTCATTTTTTTATTTTTTTATTACATAAATACATAATTAAAAATACATAAATAGAGATAAAACAAACAAACAATAAACTTATTGTTGTTGTAATAATATTAAATGAGTAGATTAATAGATTAGCCGATAGAATCACCATAACATTAGGTTAGACTATATAATTTGTAATTGAATTATATGCTTGGCGATAATATAATTTCAATTGCAATTGACATATTTGATCGATCGATTGGTTAGTCGGTTTTCTATTTATTAACTAGATTGGCAAGAATTTTTTGGGATAATTGCCCGGGTATGATTGCCGAAAGGGGGAAATGCCTAATACCAATAAATGTTTTTTAATCAAATTTCTAAAGTAATTATAGTAATCATAACCAAAATAATAAATATTTCTTAGACTTCGAATCACTCACCTCTAATAAATAAATAAATAAGTAAATAAATAAATAAATAAATAATATTAACATACTAATTCATTTCATATACAGTATATATACACTATACGATGTGCATGTAATTTGTGTAGTAGTGGTACATTATCATTATTATTATTTATTTATTAACTAATTAATAAAAAAAATTTTAAAAATAAATATTATTTATTACACAAAAATGTAAGCGATCAAAGAATTATAAATTTTTGAAATTTTAATCGTATTTTCGAAAATGTATAAATTGCATGAATTGCACACAAAAACGTGCGTTTACACACACATACTATTACATACTATTTATTACTTTTTTTTTTTCTGTCATATTTGATGGATATATTTATATTTAATAATAATAATAAAGAACTTGTTTTTAGTAATTTTTTTTTTACGCCTTTTTTTTTTTTTTTCTATCAGAATTACTATTTTTTTAAATTTTGATGTTGCACGAGTTTTAATTTTAAAAAAATTACGTCACGTATAAAATAGTCATGTGATAGATGGGCAAAAAAAGGTTTCAAATTATAGTAAAAAGAATTAATTAAATTAATTAATTTATTTAATTTTTCGGGGCTTCGGAAAATTAAAACCAAAAATCACGATTACACAAAAGATGAATAAAGCTAACATACCATATATATATAAGTGTATATGTATGTATATTATCTGATTAATTGATTGACTGATTGACTGATTGGTAAATAAATAAAGATAAATTAATTAATTAATTAAATTAATTAATTAATCAAGAGGGAAGATTACCCTCGGTTAATTTTTAAAAAAATTTAGAAATATTTATATCACACAATTTAAATATATACAACGAATAAATAAATGCTTATAAAGTAATAAATAAACAAACAACAACAAACAAACAAACACAAACAAACAAATAAATAAATTCTATTTTATCACATTTATTTATTTACTTCTTACATAATAATAAAACAAGAATTTAAAATTACTATTAATGATTAATAAATAAAAAATTTTGTTTTTTTATTTATTTGTGACATATTTGTATAAATACAATAATATAAATAATGTAGATATGAAGAGAAGAATGCAAAAGAGAATGAATTAACATCGTCGTTCGTTTGTTCGTTACCTTTAATAAATTTTATTCTCATTAATAATAGGATCTCAATTTGAAACTCTTGACAATGATAGTTATTAATTATCTTGGTATTACTTTGTAAGATAATTCCATTAATTATGATTAGTAGCTTAGTAAAATGATTAGCTCGAGTCAGTTAGTAAATAGCTTTATAATGAATGATTAATTTAGCGAGTGGATTCCTCTTTAACGGTTAATTAGTTTGATTTGGATATTAGTTGATTATTAATCTAATAAAGAATTCTCTAAATAGTAATAAATAAACAAATTTAATAAAGGATTTAATATAATAAAACGATATGAACGCAATTAATTATCTTGCTTTTTAAGTTTACAAAAAGAAAACGATTTTTTTTAAAAAAAAATTACATATTTATGTATTTATAATAAATAATATATATACAATAAATTTATAATGGAAATTGTTTAAAATAAATAAATAAATGATTTTTGTTTATTTATATATTATAACTATTTTTTAATTTTATTTATTTATTTATTTATTAGTGAAAAAAAAACTTATATACAGGCACTTTTCTTAAACAGATTTAAAAATTTTTTTTCCCTTAATGATTTTTTTCTTGTTTTTTTTTTTATAAAAATTAATTTTCTTCATTTTTTTTTTTTTTTTAGAAAAAAAAAATCCCAATTACTATTTCCTATTTCTCATCATCATCATTACTATTATATATATATATATATATTTATTTATTTATTATATTAATTTAAAAATTTTTACTAACATAATTTTATAAAAATCTTTTTTTTTCATATTCTCTTCTCTGTTTGTTTTTATCCTCTTTACTTATATAATATAATATATATATATACATAATAAACAAACAACAGTATTTCTTTCAAAATCAAGAAAAAAATTAATCATTAAAAGCTCCTTAATCATCAAGATTTATTTAAAAATTCTGATTAAAACAATAAAGTAAACAAGCTTTTTCTAAAGATAATTTTTATTTTATTTTATTTTGATTTGTAAAAACAAATATATTCTTTCACATCGACCGATCAATCAATCAATCAATCAATCAATCAATCAATCAATCAATCAATCAAACAAATACAAACCAATCTTTTCTCACATGGTTGGTTCTTTTTTAATTATCTTACATGTCACGACACCATACAACTGGTATTTCCTCTAAAAAAAACTATTATTATCAAGAAGAACAACAAAATCAAAATACAAGTAGAATAACCAACAACAACACTAATTATTATAATAGTAATTATACTACACCTAAAAACTCCCTTCTTCTTACTAAACCTATTTCAATATCTACTTCTTCATCATCACAAGAATCGATAGAATTAGAAAATATTTCATCTTCGTTATCACCGCCACCACCACCGCCACCACCAATAATATCAAATATGACTACTTTACCTACCTTACCACCTATTAGCACTATTTCCCATAATTTGCTTCCTCGAATATTACCATCTCCATCTCCTTCGTCATCATCTCCATCCTCTTCATCAATGAATCAACAAAGAGATCCTTCTTTCAATTATAGGAATAGCAACAGCGATATTCAGAAATTCCAACATCCACATCAATATCATCCACATCAACATCAACAACAACATCATCAACATCAGAATCAGAATCTTTCAATAAATCATGATCCATCTTCATCTGATTCTCATTCTTCTCAATTACCATCTTTATCCACATCGATAATACAACAACAACAGCAGCAGCAACAACAACCAACACCTACTACACCTTACCAAAATACTTACCCTCCTTTCTTATCATCTCCAAATTCTCATTCCTCGCCACCACATCCTTCACCTTCACCACCACCCTCTTCTACTTCATATTATTCACATCAAAAATCACCTCCTTCAACCTCATCATCATCACCAGCCACTCATTATTACTATCCTTATCCACCCCAACTTTCTACACAACAATATCATCATGACCATCATAACCATCACCATTCTTCCCAAAATACGAACTCTACTGCTACTACTAATAATTCCACTACTAATAAACCCAATATTAATAATCCTAATAATACTAACATTAATAAAAACAACACTCGTATAAAAACGTCATCTAAATCAAATTTATATCGATCAACTCAACAATCTCCATCTCCACCATCATCTAATAACAATAATAGTTCTAATGGTAGCAGCAATAATAATAATAATAGTCATCATCATGATAATAGTAATACATTGATTCACAATGGATCTAGCCAATCAACTCCAATACGCCCATATCAAAGAAGCCACACATCACAAAATGTTATAACTGAACCATTTGTCACAGTAACACCAGAGCTAAACAATAGACCACCAAGAAGACGTAGACGTCCTCCATTCTCTTACTCATCATTAATAGCTCAAGCTATTTTAGATTCACCTGAACATAGATTAACATTACGTGAAGTTTACCATTGGATAATGGAACGTTATCCACAGTTATATAAAGCTGATGATACTGGTTGGCAGGTTAGTTTTTATTTAATTATTATAAAGTAATTTTATTTTAGTAATTGGTTGATCAATCATTTTTTGGGGTACCATCATCATGATCGTTATTTATTATTATCTTACACCAATCCAAAATTTCATTTTAATTTTCCTTATAAAAAAAAAACTTTATATAGAAAAAAAATTTTTTTTACACATTTTTATATTATAATATAAATTATTACGGGTAACCCCGATCTAGTTAATAATATAGAACAATACTTTTATTTGATGAATGATTTTTTTGATGATGATGATGAATTTAATTTTTTTGAAAATAATGCTGGTTTATTGTGATGACAAATTATATAAAAAAAACCTGTTTTCACTTATTATAGAAATGCTTTTCGCATTTTAACTTTGTGTTACAAGCAATTACAATAGTAGTAGAGAAAAGATTAGTTAGCAGAAATAATAACATTCTATCTAAAGCAATAACAAGTATAATAGATAAACAAATAATTTTTAATTTTAAATTCCCTTTTTTTAATTTAATTAATTAAAATTTTTCCCACCCCCCTCTGTTTTACACAAATAAACAAACATTTATTTATTTTACCTTTCCTAACAAATATATTCTTTTTCTACTTCTATATATATGTGCAGAATACAATACGACATAATTTATCATTGAATAAATGTTTCAAAAAAGTACCACGTTCAGATGCAGAATTAGGAAGTGGGAGTAGTGGCGCATCAACCACTACTGCAAGTAAAGGTAAAGGTGGATATTGGACAATTGACCCTGATTATATGACTGGGTATCATGATGGTGTATTCACAAGAGGTGGTGTACAAAAACGTAGACCGGGCGAATTAGTCACTGTTACAACAACGACAACGCCGTCAAACCATAGCGGATTAATATCATCATCTCCATCATCTCCGTCATCTCCATCAACCCCACCCACTATAACAACAATAACTACTACTTCCACCAGTGGTACTGGTGCTACTGGGACAAAAAATAGTGACAATAAGAATAATGACAATGATAAGAACACTGATAATAGTGACCATATGATTTGTGATGATCATGAAGAAGATAATAATAGTGTTAGCGGCGGAGGAGGAAGCGACGATGGTTCTTTACATAATGATAGTGGCATAGGTGATATTGATATCGATTATAATCATAATAATCATCACCATCCTCAACTTGCTCTAAAGACAACATATTTGTCGTCATCATCGTCACCACCTGCCACCACCAATACTTCATCATTAATGACACCGCCACCTTCATCAACATCTAGGAATAACAAAGCTCTATTTGACAATCACTCTTCTTCAATTAAATCACAAACTATCAATGACAATAGTAATATTAGTAATAATGTATTTCATTCAGACATAAATAATAACGTTTCCTCATCTTTAAATAATAATAACAACCAATTTATACAAAAGTCACTATCACCATCGCCGCCGCCAGAAAGAAGTACTTCTAGTATTACTAGTAGTCCTATTAAACACGAATATAACAATAATACCAAAAGTGATAATTCTTCATTAAGTATCGTTATAAATTCACAACAACAACAAAAACATATGGAAGGATGTGATGATGAATTATCGCCATCAACATCAATTCATGCCTCATCATCGCCTACTTCAATGAAAATCAGCGATTTATTGAATTAATTAAATTTTTTTATAAGTAAGAAAAAGAGAGATTAAAAAAAAAGACTATCAAATTTTTTTTGATTTTTGCATACACTTACGTATATATATATATTATTATACATATCTAATGCCTCACCTTACTTATATACATCCATTTATACATACATACATATTTACATACATTTATCTATTATTTTTTTTGAAATTTTTAATTTTTGATTTTGATTTTTTTATATAACCCCTCGATTATTTTGTGTATAGATTCAACAGGAAATATGAATATTTTTTTTTAATAATAATAATCTTAATAATTAATAATAATAATAGTAGTAAACTTAATTAGTTAATTAATTATATTTTAAATTTTTTTAAGTAATCTTTTTTTGATAAAAAGAATTTTCTACCCGATGGTTTTTTTTTTTTTAATTATTAATTAGTTTGATAGTTGGTTTTTTTAATATTTATATAATATGTATATACAATATTACCATATATTATTCTTTCATATGTATAAATAAAACATAACACATTAATATAAGTTATTCGTAATAAAAAAAAATAATAAGATTCATTATTAATTAATCTTTAAATCTCTAATTTTTATTTTGATTTATTGACAAGATAACAAATGGTTAAATCTCCTTGACCAGGAGTGACTTCATTGGATCTGAGAGAGTGTTGAAGTGTTTTGAATGCCCAGTATAAATTGACTTGCATAAGTTTTTGGGAAGGGTAGTAAAGTGGAATGAAAGCTGAGCGCTTTAATGGTGTTAGTTACACTCGAATGAAATGCATGGTGGGTTGACACACTCAACAGCACCATATGCTTTGATACTAATGATCTTGCTATTGACAATTCTATGGAAACGCCATGCACAAATCTGTTGGGAACAATAATTGTTATTCATTCCAACCGTGCAATATATTTAATGCTTGCTCCTCATTTGTCATCATCTTTTTGAGTGTAGCCTTTTTTTATAATCTCCTGTGCCGGTTGTTCAACTAACATAACCGACAGGATAAACGAGTATGATTTTAGATATTCAAGGAAATGAGAATACGGGTTGGGAAGAGCAAGAATGCAAAGTCCATCAAGTTTTGATACAGGAAATGATGTTGAATGATAATTGTGGTTGTGATGATGATGATGATAGTTTATTTTGATCTTCTTTTCCGGCATGTTCTTTTATATAATTTCTTTCTGCAGCACCAAGTTTTGTCTGTTTTCTTTCTACAAAGCTGCTGATTATATCGATCCTTCAACTGAAACTTGGGATATTCAAAGTTCTTCAGATCTTGGCCAAGCTCTCGATGAATCCTACGAGCCGCGTCAATTTTTGACATAGTCTGAACTGTTTTGAGGGCATTTTCTTTTATTCATATTCATATTATTCTCTCACATCTCTCTCTTACTTTACGAGCAACCTTCAAACTCTGATAAGCATTCAGGGTCTTTTACAAGCCTTTCGTGGACAAGGCTTAAATTGATTCTTTTTCCGCAAGCGTTTTCTTTCCTTCTTGAGATGATCAGTATCATCATCAGCCTTTTTGTCAAATTTTTCCTTGTCCTTGTCTGATGTCTCAAATTCCTTCACCCAATTCAAGGAATGTTCTTTTAACCGCTTGAAATTGGATGACCATGTCTTGATGAGCCATTTGAAACGGCTTTACCAATAATGCGAGTTATAAACTATCAACATATTAATATGCAAATCTGAGGTCATGACTTTGGCAGGTATTATCCATTCTTTCCGAGTCAGAAAAAAGTCTCCTTTTGGTTTTATAACCATGTGCTTATATTTCCATGTAAAAAATCTCTTAAGGGAAAAAATCATTTTTCCGTATTAAGAACATGTCTGCCTGCATATATTGTATGGTCAAAACTCGTTAAATTCATATTCGATAAATTGATAAATTCATAATCGTTTAAATTCGTAATTTTTTCAGGAACAATGTTAGTTATATTAAAACTTTATTCGATAATTTCATAATCGCAATAAAATCTCGATAATCGATAAAGTCAATAACTCTCTTACTTTTATTAGAGTATGTCATCGTATAAAAAAATCTCGCTCTTTTAAATACGTGACTCGTGTAACCATTAAAATATTATTATGGTGCTTATAGTAACAATTGGCCAGCTTCAAAATATTTTTATATCATCTTAAAAAAGCTAACCGATAGATTTTTATTGTTCATTTACTCAAGTTTCAAAACTTATCGGTTAGTTTTTCTTAAACTAAAAATTGGCTGATCTGAAAATTCCAAATTTGTGTAATAATGTTTTTATTAAAATTTTACTAGTTTCTCTTTATTTCATTGGTCGAATAATTTCACGTGATTGTTCCCACCTAACCCACTTTGTGTCACAATAATTTTCTTAAATTTTATTGGCTAATATTTGTACACGTGATAAATAAAATTTGATCGTTAACTGTATAACATACATGCAATCACATACTGTATTTCTTTCCAAATTTTTAAATTAGTTGTAGATCATACAGTATAGGAATGCAAAAATGTACAGTACTGAATGTCTATATACTCTATATTTCTAAATAAGAAAACCAGATGATGTTCTGACTAAGGTTTCCGGTGAAAAAAACTATATAAATCAACCTATTCTAATTTTAAAAACAATTTTGCCTAACTTCAGTTATTAATAAAAAATAGTTTGGGCCTATAAAAAAATTAAATTTTGCACCCAGTGTTTCAGCAATTTTTGTTATTAAGAGAGATAGTCTCGACCAGAAATTTTAGTTCTGACAAACCTTTATGCCCATAGCTTTTAAAATGGGCCCAAAATGACAAATATGGATTTGCTGCAGAATACCAGTTCATTTATAAAGTATTATTTTAACTAATAAAAACAATAAAAGACAAAAAATAACTACATTACATTAATTAAGTAAATTGCAATACATTTATTAATTGTTTTTGTGCAGGTATTATCATTTAATTGTTTAATTAACCAAGTTTGATAAATTTTAGCTTCAAGATCATTTAGTATATCTAATAAAATATATCTTTTAATAATACTGCAGACAAGCAAATTCGTAAGGTATTTAAGTGGTGTTTAAGAACAATGGTAAATGAAATATTGCTAATGACCATAATAGATCTTAATGCAGATCAAAGAATTATTTAAAAGAAAGCAAGGTCAAGATGTTGTTGAGATCAATATTTCTGCTGATGAGCTCAATAAGGTTGGTGTATGAGATGCAATAAATGCAAAATATGATGCTGAATAATCTCTTCATTAAAGTAAGTTTCATTCTAACTTACACACTTATATATGTTGTTTACACTCTTACCAATTTTTGTATTAGTTTGATGGTGCAGATAAGGAATGAATCCATTGTTGAATAGCAAATTCATGTGAAACATGAAATCCAAATTGGTTCACAGAAGTTAACACAATATGTATGGTTGAAGACAATCAGCTTCGGACTGATGTTGGTATATGTTTTATCATAAGTTTTTGATGTTTGGATTGAGGTAAATTGTATTGATTTTCTGGAGGAAAAGAATGTAACAATTTTGCTTATCAGATCTGAATTCTTTTCCAATCAAGACCTGGATTGTAGCAATTTTTTGAATGATATTGCTTTGATTCCGGACCCGGACACTTTACCGACACCCACTTTACCGACAAGACACTTTACCGACAACACGCGACGTGATATTTTAGCATTTTGTTAGTTTGTTTGATTATGTAGAGATTAAATGTAACCCCGTGTGTTGTCGGTAAAGTGTCTTGTCGGTAAAGTGGGTGTTGGTAAAGTGTCCCAGACCCCTTTGATTCATAGACATTTGATAGGAATTGAATTTGTTGGAATCTCTATTCTCTCTTCACGGTTCAGTTCGGTTTTCAGTTCACATTTGACTCGGACATTCTATATAAATTCATTAACTATGTAAAAATATACACAATAGCTTCACAAATAACTTGTAGCTTAGTTTTAGTGAATGTGTTGTGAAAGTAGAGAGATGCTGGAAGATCCTGTTTCTAAATACATAATTTTTATACCATGGTAGCGATGGTCCATTTCTTACCAAAATTAGAATGGAGAACATTCATAGATTCACCACAAAAATTTGTATGTTTGGAGTTTCTATTCACAATACAAACTTTTATTTGCTTTATTCATTCTATTTGCTTTATTCACTTTATTAGTTTTATTAGTTTTATTAGTTTCATTCGAATTATTCGTTTCATTCAACTAAACTTTCAATTTATAATGAATAAAACAAATAATTCGAATAGAAATCCTAAGGACGTTCTATTTTTTTCAATTCATATACAAAATTCATCGTCTCTGCAAACTTTTAAACTCATTCAGGCTCTTATTGTTCCAGGTTCTAAAATACAATGCCTTTGAATAATTAAGTCTGTGCCTCCAGAAAAAACTTGTTCAACCAAGACTCTGGATTAGAAATTAATAAATTTAATTCTAAATAAGCAGAGTGCAAAAGTTAGAATACCAGGGACTGCCAAGTAGTTTTTAGCTTAAAGCACTGAACAGTTCGATTCAAACAGAAAATTTCAGTTTGGAACTTTATTCAGAACCCAAATCCAGGGCCAATTATTACCCCTGCAACCAGTCAAACTAACATACCTTACAGAGCCCCGTATGCTATTCATTGGGATATAAAAATCAACCCAGTATGAACTGGAATTTTAATATATCTTTGATGAGCATAGTGGACACTGTTGCAGATCACAAAAAAATGATCAACATAACATATGTTATGGTGAAAGTTCTTGTAAAAGTTTGATTATAAAAGTGTGAGATAATTTTGATCTTGCTGATTATCTGGACTTAGAGAGGTTACAGCTATATTCTAGTGAAGTTTCAGAAGCAACGGGCTCTGTGTAACCACCTGCATATTATACAAATGACTGTTGATCTGCAACAGTGTCCACTATGCTCCTTTGATGTGTATTTTAATATTATACTTGATATAATTTCTGCGCCGTAATTGAATTATTGAGAAGTTATGATACTATATATGATATTACTCCATATATTTTTATGAATAAATTGAATGGTGGGTTGATTTTTAGTTTTTTTTATTTCTTTTTTCGGAAACTAAGTTTTTTAACAATATGCCTTTTCTTTTTAGAAATGGTGTAAAATCATGGCCTTTTATCATTTCAACAAAGAAATATTTATATTTTTCTTCATGTTATATTTGCTAAATATATTATTATTTTGCATGCATATTAACATGGACTTTTGACTATATTGAGGGTAAATGTAAAAATAATCAACCAATCAATCAATTGATCAATATTGGAGCTTCTTGCTCTAGAGCCAGACCTACAAAATTGATACTAAATTAATGCGAATCGTGCTTTTCATAAATTCCAATTTGCGTCACTTTTTGTATAAATGAATAGCTATTCGTGATCATAAACTTTAAAATAACTGGAGCCTGCTAGAAAAATACTAAAATAATAAGTTAATAGAACTATCAAAATAACTCAATTAACTTGATAGGGATTTGCGAATTATTATTTGCTTTGATGCTACTTACTAGAGGCATTTTCGAATAATCCAGCTAATAATGAAATAAAACCATGATCACACAACATTTCATAAAATTACAGATGATTTATTTATAAGAGTGCAAAATTATAAATATACAAATATGTACAAAACATGCAAAAACAAATATATATATATAAAACATACAATTAAAATCAGACAAAAAATAAATTTAGTGTTAACACCAAACAATAATTAATTTATCCTTACTAAACAAGTTTAATATTTTACCTAAATCTTTTGGTTTGATACTTTCACGAAAAAGGATTTCTTCGATATGATGTTTTCCATTAAAATATTTTATTAACCTTTTAAAGAAAAGAATTAGTTATATTGTATTTCAATTATTTTGCTGAAAAAAATTAGATTGTTACCTTTCAAAAAGATTTGCAGTCTCTTTTGGTTGATTAATCACCAATTTGTTTAACCATTCTCTTTCACTATCACATGCTTTTTCATAAGGTGATATTAATACTACAGGATCAGTTGAATTGGTTCCTATTGTTGAATTATTGTCATTGCTACTGCTACTACTAATATTACTAACACTAATATTGTTATTATTACTATTGTTATTGTCACTAGGTGAAGTATTTATATTATTGCTGTTGTCACTGTGATTAACCTGAGAATCACCATTGACAATTCCAATTTCAGCACCATTATTATTATTATCATCAATAACATTGGACATTCTCAATTTTTCTTGATTTTCTTCTTCAGTATTTACATATTGTGGAACCATTACAAAAATATAAGCGTGTAATTGCACCACAAGATCCTTTCTTAATAGGTAAGTTATAGCTTCAAGATACATTGTGCGATGTTCTTTCGATGTGATTACGGCACTTAAAAAATAAGGTTTTTGAGTAGAAAGTGATGCAAGAATTGTCACTAGATCCAAAGCTGGAAAGTGTTGCCTGAAATATTCAATGTGTATTGGTAATCTTTAAAAAGTACATTATTAACATTATTATTATAATTAATATAAATAATTAGTTAAATTAAAAATAGATATCTAAGTGAAAATATATATATATATATGTTTCTCTTACGAATTCATATCTGCTGTAGGTGAAACAACATAAACATTTCGTACATTAATTACATCAATTATTTTTGCTTTCCTCCAAAATATTAAATGAGCCGCAAGTCTAAAAATTTGTGCTAAAGAACAATCTAATAAAGTACATAGATCTGCTAAACTATAAATTAATATAAATAAATAAATAAATAAATAAATAAATATATACATATTTCTTTAACAAATTTTAAAAAAATCATAATTACCGTTGTGTGGGTGTCAATATTTGTACCAGATTTACCAGAGTAGGATTAGCATCTAAAGGCATATTTTTCAATAATTCTTCAGCGTCTTCTAACAGCAATAATGTATGATATGGAGCAATAACAGGGTAATGAGCATATTCGTAGCCATGTAAATCATTATCAGAAGAATTAATAAAAGTTGTTGGAACAAGAGGAGGAATTTGTAATGAGAGGTCAATGTAATCATTGACTAAAACATGTGCTATTGAATCTGTTGATATTGCATCATAAACTTGTTTGATTGTTTTAGCCAAAGAACTCTTTTGTAAAATAATGTTCATCAAATCATCCTTTGTTCTAATATCTGAGTAATCTCTAAATGATAAAATCAATTCTGATTCTTTGCTAACATATCCACATCTAAGTTGTTCATAATGTAGAGCAGCTGTAAGTTTTGTAATTAAATTATTATAGATATTGTCTACTTGTCTACAAAGTTCTAATTCAGGTGGCTCAAGTACAAATATAAGATGAAAAAATGTTAGATCTAATTGTTGGTTATTATTACTATTATTATCATTGCGGTTGTTGTTATAATTATTATTATAATAGTTGTTGCCATTGGTTAATAATCTATTACTATAATGAGAAGAAACTTCGGATTCTATATCATCAAAGGAATGATTTGATATTATAGATAATTGTTCAATTAATGCATCATCGTAATTTTCTTGATTTGTTTCTGAAACATTATTATTATTATTATCCTCTTTATCATTTTTTAAAGAACTTTCTTTATCATTATCGTTATTATTATCACCATTATCATTATCATCATTATTGTCGTTCTTATTATTAGATGATGATGATTTTAAAAAAACTGGTTGCCCAACAAAAGTTATATCATCAATTGATAATTGAAATTTTGAAGTAGTTTTAAGCTTAGGACAAAGAATATTGGCTAATAAAGAAGGTTCAAATCCAAACAATTGGTTAAAAGATTCTTTTTGTTCATTATTTTCGCTATCTGTATTATGATTAACGTTGCTGCAACCGCTGCAGCTGCTGTTGTTGTTGAAATCATTTTCTTCAACATCTTCTTCAACTTTTGATTTTAAAGATCTTGTGTCAATGTCATCTGAAAGTCCGTAAGGCCAAGAAATTGTATCATTATCTAGCAAATAATTCTCATCAAAATAATTCTCGTCATCCCCTTTCTCTTTCTCCTCCTCTTCTTCATCAAAATCATAATTATCTTCTTTACGGATTGATTGTTCTATTTCATCACGTCTTTGAGGAGTTTTAGGATAATGGAAAACAAAATTGTGACCACTTCCACTTCTCGAGTTAACGACTAATAATATAGCAAGTAGTGAATTAACCATTTTTTTGAGATTATCACGGGACACATAAAAGGATGGGGCAGAATATTTTTGACCATCCCCGTACAAATTTGGCTAGGTCACCAATTAGAAAAAAATGAAACAAACCTTTTTGAATGATTCAATAAATTTAAAGAAATTTGATGTTGTGAATGAAAAGGATTATCCAAACGATAAAGAATTAATAGAAGATATTGATGTTATAATGATTACAGGCTCTTGTAAGAATTTTAATAATAATAAATATTTAAAAATATATGGGCATGCTGCAACAAAACCAAAGTGAACATTGGTATTACCAGAATTTCAGGGATCAAAATTTAGTAATGTGATTGTTAAAATCTCCTATTTGCTATCTTCTTAATATAGAATTACTCCTATATAAAAATAGTTAATATGAAACTCATTTTGAAGAAAGAACAAGGTGAAAAAATTGCTCCTTATGTTTTCAAAATAAATGATACTCAAACACTTGAAGCTTA